GTGACGTAGAAATCTATTGAAATATTTCCACTTAATAAATTTAAAATAAAATTTATTTTTAATAAATTTTAATAAATTTTAAAATTTTAATAAATAGGGAGAAGAACCTACTCCAGAACCTAATCAGATAGTGCCGCTCCTAACGCTCGGCGGCGCTGGCCCTAGCGGCTGCGGCGCGCGCGGTAAAGAGAGGAAAGGAGGCGTATACCACGGAAATCGGCTGAAATGTTCAGACTAATTCCGAGCACTGAATTAAAGTAAAAAAATTTGCCACATATAGTATATGTCTGAAATTTGCTTTTAAACATATATTTTCTGAACAAAAAATATATATTCTTTAGAGATAATATTTTTTTTTTAATATTGAAATCAAAAGACTCGAGGAAGATTAATTAATCTTTAAAAAGATACTTTCAGAAATAATAAAATATATTTTTTATTTAATTTTAATTAAATTTCTGTAGAACTTTTATTTATAGTTTATCTCAAGATAATTAAAATTCACATATTTGCGAATAAAAAAAAACTCAATTTCAAATAAGTCAAAGAAATCATGTAATTAAAACAAAGAATACTTTAGTTTTACTCTTTGAAAAGATTCTATATTTCGAAAGATCTAAAAATCTTGCACATTTTTTGCAAATAACGTTCAAGGCAAAATTCACATGATATCTCCGTATACGTCACTAGTATTGTAGTCCGAGGCTCTCGCACTCTGTGATAGACCTTAAGACCTGCACGGTCCTGCAACATCGATAACGTCCAGCAATGTCCAATAATAGGACGATTGCTGCGATCTTCAATATATTTAGTGATTGCTCGCATGAACTACCATGATCCTTATTATACATTTCCTGGTTAAGCCCCCTAAACTATTCCACCCACTTTGAAAATATTGCTAAACGTATGATGCTTAATGTAGTGCCATTCGTACCGTCTTGGGTGAAAGTGGTGTGTTTGTGCGGACAAGCGTTCTTTTGTGTTGAAATTTTGTTTCCGTTTCCTTCTTTGTTTCGGTTCTTTCATAATAGGAAAGAATCATCTTTCCCTCTTTCTGAGCATAGAATTGCCATGGCATTAATGGATGTTGTGTTTGCCATTTTTTTCATTTACTTTGATTTTTACAGAATGACGTAGTAGAGCGTCCCGACAAAGTTACGGTCGTTCAATTCTTATAGAATGCAATTTTTTTATTTGCAATTTCTATTGCCATTCTCAATTAACATACATTTTGCGGACACTTATTAAATGATATTTTTAAAGATTCTTCAATTTTAAAGTTTAACGTGTCATACTTATTTTCCTGAAAAGTATTTTTTAGATGACATAATATTAATTACAAAAGTATTAAAAATTAAGTATTAAAAGTATTTTAAAATAATCATTAAAAAAACTTTTGACAAAATTTCAATTAATTACATAACTCAAGATAAAAACTGGAAAATATTTTTTTAAAGATTTAAGCATTTAAAGATTGAAAGATTTAAAAGATTTAAGATACTTTTAAGATTATTTATCAAATGTAAAGAAAAAAATTGAGAATTGCAAAATAGACCTTTGTAACTTATACATTATGCTTCCGCATTGAATGAATGGTTCCTTGGTTGAATGAATCTGTAAGTCAAGGCTATTCGCGCATGTGTAAATTGTGTATACTATGCGTTACAACTATAATCTCGGGTGGGATTCTTCAATCTTCATCGGGTTACGACTCATCTTGAATCACAGGTACCACGTGAACTCAATCAATCTCTTGCCAGTAATATTTGATAATAATTATAGAAATTTTTACTATTCAATTTTTAAATACTTTTTGAAATTTTATCTATTCTCTCTCTCTCTCTCTCTCTCTCTCTCTCTCTCTCTCTCTCTCTCTCTCTCTCTCTCTCTCTCTCTCTCTTCCCCTTCTCCCTCTTTCCACCCCTCTCTCTCTTTCTCTCATTTCCTCTAATTTTAGCCCTTTCCCACTCTCTTTATTAACTTTCTATCTTCTATTTATATCTTCACTATCCCTTTTCTACTTTTCTCTTTACTCAGCGCTCCTTGTGTCTTGATAAACGGTTTCAGGAAGTTTTTTGTCTCTTTTTCTTTGCATGTATCTTTAAATCTCTCTTAAGGTTTTCAACGATAACACTAAAACTGGATATATTTATTAAAATTTGATGGTAATTACTCACAAGGAATAGTACAAAAAGTGTTCTTTTGCAAATCGTCGGAAAGAAAAGGGCATTTGGTCGGTTGTTATAACACACAACTGAATCAAGTACTCATATGACTCGCAAGAGGTAAGAAAAGTGAAGAGTAAACTCAGGTAACCTGGTGACCGTTTATAAGCACATTTGTTTTGAAAACTTGTGTATTATAAAATAAAAAGAAAAGAAAGAAAATCTGATCGATACCAAATTATTTATAAAGTTTCGAAACAGGAGCGCTTTTTTTAACATTTTTTCCATCATTTTTATCTAATCTCACTCAAAATCACCGATGAGGCGAGCACAGTGGGCAAACGTACTACGAGGCACTGTAAGTAGATAAGAGTTTTCGGACTCTTTTCTCATTATTTTTTAATCTCTTGTTAATCT